CGCCTCGACCTGCTCCTTTATATTTTATACCTAACTAGATTTAATAGAAAAACGCTTAAAAAAGAATAGATTACGCACTTTACGTAAGTAACCCTCTGCTACCTAAACTATATAGAACAGATCCGTCTCTATATACTAGAACTTAGTAAACACGAGCTACTACTAGAATAGCCCTAGCTATATAAGCACTGTGTTAGATTTAACTATAATAACTAACAACTATTATTTTAATTATCCTAATACCAGGCGCAATACCTGTGCAACTCCTAAACCTCTGCAATAAGAACTTATATAGAATAGCTTCCTAAAGCGCCCCTTATTAAGCAGTGCCCAACACCTTTAACCTAATACTTTTACTTATAGCGATTAAGCCTGTCTATACAACACTAATATAATTACTAGCTTCCTAAAATAGTACGCTAGATAAATATGCCCGACCCTAAACCTAAGCTAGAAACTAAACCCGAAACTAAATCTAATTCTAAATTTAAACCTAATACCCGGACGGATATTTATATACTAAACGCGGCGTCTATAACCTAATTAGCCTAATAACCTAATTATAAAATTTTCGCTATTACTATTACCGATATTAATAAGGCCTTAGCTCCGAAAACCTAAACTAACCTAGCTATAAAAGTCCTAGTATAATATTACTATTTACTAAAAACCTTCTCCTAATAGGAAGCTAATAAGTTACCTAAATACTAAACGTACGATTATAAGATTATGCTTAAAAACGGCAAACTGCACGGATTTAGCCCGTTATACGGAATATTATAAAATAAATTAAAGGTGCTAAGGAAGTACCTTAATAACAACCTCGCGAAAGGATTTATCTATGCCAGTTTATTACCTATCGCCTCTCCGGTTATCTTTATTAAGAAGCCTAGAGAAGGCCTATAATTCTGTGTTAACTACTGCGCGCTAAATACTATAACTATTAAAAACCGATACCTAATTCCCTTAATTTAGGAGACCCTGGTATAATTAAGCAAGGCGAAATACTATATAAAGCTCGATATTATCTCTGCATTTAATCGCTTATAAATTGCGAAAGGAGATAAATAGCTAACTGCCTTCCGGACGCGATACGGCCTATTTAAATACCTAGTAATGCTATTTAGATTAGCTAACGCTTTTAGTATATTCTAATACTATATAAATAACATGCTCCGCCTGTACCTAGATATATTCTATACCGCATATATTAACAATATTCTAATATATAGCAAAAACTTTAAAAACTACTAGCGTTATATAAAGCTGGTTCTAGAAGTAATAGAAGCCGCCGGCCTACAACTAAATATTAATAAATGCGAATTCTATTAGAATAAGGTTACCTACCTAAGGTACGTAATATTAACCGGCGGAATTAGTATAGACCTAAATAAGATTAAGAATATCTATAACTAGGAAGTCCCCTATAATATTAAGAACGTACGAGCCTTTATTAGATTCGCAAACTTCTACTAATAATTTATTAACAATTTCTCTAGCCTAGCCGCTCCCCTAATTACACTTATAAAAAAGAACGTTCTGTTCCGGTTTAATAAGCCCTGCCGTGCGGTATTTAAACAACTTAAAACAGTATTTACTACCGCCCTAATCCTCTATTATTTTAACCCTAAACTGCCGATTATTATTAAGGCTAATTTATCCGACTATATAAACGCTGGAGTGCTCTTATAAATAGATAAATAAGGAATACTCCGACCTATAGCCTACTTTTTAAAATAATTAAGTTCTGCTAAATATAACTATAAAATCTATAATAAGGAACTCCTAGCAATTATCTAATACTTTAAACAGTAGCAGCCTAAACTAGAAAGTGCAGTATTCCTAATTTAGGTTTTTAGCAACTATAAAAACCTGCAGTACTTTATAACTATAAAGCAGTTAAGCTACTAACAGGCTTATTAGTCTAAATACCTGTCCTAATTTAACTTTTTAATTACCTACTAACCTGGTAAGTATAGTAAAAAGCCTAACGCCTTAACGCGTTATACGCAAGATACGCCTGCGCAAGAAGAAGCTTAAGCAGCCCGAAATTAGATACTGCTCTATCCCGACCTGTTTACGCAGTTAAATCTAATAGAAACTAACTAAATAATTTAGGAGATTATTAAGGATAAATACCTAAATAATAAGTTTATCCAGGAAGTCCTGGAGATGTTATGCTCCGGAGTACACTGCTTTAAGAAGATTACCCTAAGTAAATATAAAAAGCAAGATAGTAAGCTCTACTTCTATAACCGAATAGTAATTCCTAATAATAATAAACTAAAGATTAAACTGCTTTATTACGTGTATAATTCCCCTATTAGCGGCCACCCTAGATATAGAAAAACTCTAGAAATCCTTTAAAGAAAATACTACTAGCTGTATATATTTAAAATAATCCGCCAATTTATAGCATGCTATTACACCTATTGCTATATAAAGGCTTTAAAAAAAAAGTATAATAGCTTCCTAAAACCCCTGCCCGTCCTGCAGTATTACTAGCGAAATATTTCTATTAACTTTATTATTAAACTACTTAAATCTAAAGGCTGCACTAATATTATAGTTATAGTAGACCGCTTAAGTAAGTACTAATATATAATTCCCTATAGAACAATTATAGCTAAGGCTATAGCTAACCTATTTTACTAATATATTTAGGTATATTACAGATTACCTAATATATATATATCCGATTAAAGATTACAGTTTATCTCCGCGTTTTAAAATAAACTGTATAAGCAACTACGTATTAAAGCCTAATTATTATCGGCCTTCTACCCGGAAACTAATAGCTAAACAGAGAAGGCTAATTTAATACTAGAATAAGTCCTCCGCGCCTATATAAACTATAAGCAAGATAACTAGGTTACCTAGCTGCTGTCCGCTTAGTTTAAGGTAAACAACACCTAATCTAAATTAACAACAGTAACACCGTTTATTGCTATCTTAGGATAATACCTAAGAATAGGCTTTAAACTGCTATTAGGAACTCTACGCCCTGCCTATTAAGTACTATAAGCACTTAAGGCTAATTAAATAGTTAATAAAATATTAGATATTAAGCAGTTTATCTGCAAAGAAATAACTTAGGCCTAAGTAATATAAGAAGAATACGCTAACCGAAAATATATAGGCGCACCGGCCTATAAAGTAGGTAATAAAGTCTAGTTAAATATACGGAATATTTATATAAATTAACCCGCTAAAAAGCTTAATTAGAAAAACCTAGGGAAGTTCCCAATTATACAGATTATTTTTCCGTACGCCTATTAACTAGGCCTACCTAAATCTATAAAGATATATCCTGTCTTCTATATCTTATTACTCTATCCTGCCGCTCCGTAAGCTAACTACCTGCCTGGCCAGGAGTTGCCCTTACCTAAACCTATTTAAGTTAAAGAAGAGACTAAATAGTATATTAACTATATTAAAGGCATGCGCCTAAACCAGCGCTAAAAGTAATACAAGTACTTAGTCCGATAGACTAGATACAACAACCTATCCTAGCAACCCGTTAATAACCTAAAGGACACTACTGCTGCGGCTAATTATTATTACCGCCACCCCGAAGCTCACAATCCTGCGTCCGATAAGCCCCGTCCTGCTAGACCCTGAAACCTTAATTAAGATTTAATTCACGGCCCTACTCCCGATAAATAGCCGTACACATTATAAACAGCGCCTCCTACTCACCAAGAGACTTGGGTTTAGGAGGGGGGTACTATCACGGTATTAACCGCGACACCCTACCTACCGAAATTCTGCCGCAGATTGCTATAACTCTAGCAATCTGCACCGGCCTACTACCGTTGGCCGGCCCCCTGCCCTGCCTGCCCTGCTCCGCTCCCGTCTCGCTTCCGCTTCCTATCCTGTCCCGCTCCAGCCACCTACCGGCTGCCCCCTTTTCCTATCACCTGATCTGGTAAGGACCTCGCGTACACGCGTGCCACGCGCCGAAACGGCATAGAGGCCGTACGCCACGCGCTCGGCCACGCCCTTATATCCGGTGGCCCGTCTCCCGTCTTCCTATTCCTTACACAACGTCTTAATTCTCCACGTAGTATTGTACATAGCACCTAATCAACGCTCCTCTTTAAGCCCTCGACCTCTTACGTGTAGCGCTATCGTAACACACTATAGCAATTAAAGACCCTAAGTAATATATACAAATTTGGATTACAGTTAAGGCTAGTAAGCAATTCCTTTGTACGGTTACTAACAACTGCCTAAGAAGGCTTCTTAAAGCTTATTAAAGGAGCCGAAGAGATGCTACACGAAAATGTGCTTATTAAAGCCCGGGTTAAAGAGCTTGAAGAGCAACTAGCAGAGATAACCAAGCGTAAAGGTCGTAAAAGAAAGCGAATCCAGACTGGCGGTACAATGGAGTATGGTACAGCAGCGTTGTACGTAGCTGCTGAAGTGTCTGGAGCATCTAATCCACGGAAAAAGGTGGGTAGTAGAGATGGTGCAAATAGGGCTCTACCAGCTCAACGGCGCTATGGAAACTGTGGAGAGGCTGGGCACAATGCGTGTACGTGTAAAAAGGATTAAGAAGCTTCTTCTGAATCTGATCTAAGTGTGTCGTACACAAGTTCTATAGCTAGTTGCGAATAAATTGACTGCGCGCACATAGTGTTGGTTGTGCCAAGGAAAAGTGGCCGGCTCGGTGGTTTGGCCGGCTCGGTAATGGAATACGTTACTTAGGTTACTATTATATTATATAAATATTAGCTATTATTAGTTAGGTACTTCCTATACGCTGCGTGTTCCTTTTAGTTATATTCTTACCTATTACTATTATAGCTAATCCTAAGAAAAATAGTTATTTACTTAATTCTATTAAAAAGGAATTAGATCGGCCGATTTTTCGTATTAGCGCTGCCGATAAAATAGCGGCAAAAAAAGCTATAGAACTAGAGATAGTAAACTAGTTATATATAGAGTAGTACTTTTTAATTTACTAGGTATATAGCTTCTATACTACGTGCTTATTTAGGTGGCTAATTTTATTATAGATCCTAAGGTATATACTTTATAGAGCAGCTCTAAGCCTAAATTATATGCCCTATACTATTAGAACCGAAAGCATTAAGAAATCAAAATATAACAACAAGTAAAGCCCGCTTATAGTAACACCGCGAAGCAAACAAATTATAAATACCTCGACTCTGAGCCTTTATATTGCTTTAGAGCTCGATAACGTTGCCTACGTTCTGGCCACATCCTCGCCCTTTTTTTGCTTACTATAACTACCTTAGATATACTCACCCGCGTTAAAGAAGGTGTTGGTCTCCTCATCGAAACCGTCCTCCACATGCTCATCCTTGCCATGGCCATCAACGTGTCCGTCCTCATAATGGAACAGCTCATCGTCATCGTGGTCGCCATCGTCGTCTGATTCCGCCTCATCCGCATGGCGTGCCGCAAAGATCGCCTTCTTGAGCTTACACTCCACGTCCATGTCTCTCCTAGCAGTGGCGAGGAAGAAAGGATGATCTGATGAAAGAGGCTTTCCCGTCGTCACGAAACCCATGGGCGTATGCTCGAAATCTTGGTTTTTGCGCAGAACGGCGAGCCACTCGCGCACTATGGGAAGTTAGCTTGGAAAATGCTGAAGTATAAGGAAAAACTTACAGAAAGTACAAGGTTTCTTCACAAAGGCCTCGAGTTGGGATGCCTCCGAGCTCTCGTTTGAGTCTGCACTCGTTTTGACTCCAAGATACGTAGATAGCTCCTGATACTCCCGCCATTCAAAATAAAGTCTCCCAGCAAATATGCCGAGCTCGATTTTTAACCATGCAGGGGTCTTGAAGTTCGACGGCAGCGGCGGGGTAGCGTGATAGTCAAGATTGTTAAAATGTAACATGCGACGGGTGACAGGAGCGGAGTAAACGATAAGATGAGTAATTCCTGCCGTATCCTTCGGGCCTCGATAGCGTCGAAGGAGGGGAATCAGAGCATCAGCCTCCTCCGGGCTAATGACCAAAGCCATCTGAGTTCGACTGCTCCAAAGAATCCAGTGACAAGGACGCAAAAAGTTATCGTTCGGTCCTGTGACCTTGACAGTTCGGCTGAACTGTGTAGATACGAAGAGACCGGGTGCTCTACTCGGGGCGGAGAATTCACCGTGTCTCAGGCCCGCAGCAGTCTTCTGGAGAGTTGAGAACATGGGCTGGTACGCATTACTTCCATCAGTAATTCGGCCTGACTTGACGAATTCCTCAAGGTCTCTGTGGAGCTTCGGAATCTTCAAGGCCGTAAAGTGCACTGGCTTCTGAATATCGCGCACGCTCTCCACTTCGAACTCCACTTCGCGCTCCTGTTCGACTTCTTCAAGAGCTGAGGAATGGATTGCGATGCCGCGATCCTGAAATTGCTCCTTTCGCTGGGCAAGCTCATTCACATATTTTTTGAGCGATGGGTGGAAGGACGGAGCATTCGTCTGAGCCGCCCGCCTCAGGCGCTTCGGCTCGTATAGTTCTTTGAGCGTATGTAGCTCCTTGCTTCGCACCACTGACAAGAACCTGTCGCGCTGATGCAGTCTCTCCAAGTAGTCGGGATTGTCAATTTTGGCTTGAACTTGCTGTAGATAGCTATTTCCTTGCATAAAGAACAGAGGCTCTGACTGCTCAAGAGCATTGCAGGACTGCTCCAAAAGCCATGCGATGACGTCAGAAGAGTCAAGCCAACTACCTTCAGACTTCTTTCGCAGGTCAAGGATACTCTGGTGCACCTCTGGTGGCGAGAAGAAGGTTACTGCCTGGGACTGACCGAGCAGACGTAGGCGCATAGCAGCCTGCGCCAGAGCGTCCTTCGTTACGTGCGGGCCGAGCGTCAATGCGGCCCTCGCACTTGGAGGCAGCTTGAGATCAGTTCCACGGCAATGGCTCTCATCCAAATATACGAGGCAACCTTCCATATCCTCCGCGAAGGGAGAAGCGACAAGCGGGATCTTTTTGCCCTTAGGATAGAGAACCCACGGACGGTGGTCGGATTCAAAGAAAACAGCTGCCGCAGCCTCCCAATCAATTTTGAGCCATGCCTTCGCTAGACTATAATTGTCATGCTCGAGGATCTGAGCACCCGCATCAATGAGTATTCGGATTTTCTGCGTCTGTTTCGCAAAAGGATGTCTGCACGGGTTCAAGAGCATTTGTAGGAGACCTTCCTCACTGAGGCGCCTTCCGGAACTTCCCACCATGGGAATATATTGTCGGTTACGGGGTTCAAGCAGGTAAGAGAGTACTTCGGCATTAGTATGTGCCAGCTTTGGGAGGTCATTTTGCTTGATCATCATCGGCAACTGATGTCGTGAGTCGTTTGTCCCGGAAAAACCACTGGTTCGACATAGTGACTTCTGAGTTGCGTGGTAGAGAACCAGGTCCCAGCCAGAAGCCTGTATCTTCGTGTCGAATTGCCTGGCATGCCCAGGGAAGACGAAGCTATTCAAATAGAAGTCTAGCAAATACACGTTGAATCTGTAGTCGGTCAGCATCTGCTCAAAACCTGGGCCGAAACCCTCCAGTGCACTCACCGGATATAGTAGTGCAGCTCGCGAAGCTGTGATGAATTTTCGACATTGATGGCATTGTAGTCTCGCAAGCTTTCGGGAAGATCATGAGTCGCCCATTTCTCGTATTCAATGCTGGGCTCGTCCGACTTCAGAAGGTGTTCGAAAGCCTTCTTGAATTGTCCCAAATCCAGTCCTTGGTAGTAGAAGGAGAGACAGGTCAAGATGATCGCTACATCCGGGTGGCCCCATTCTGAGGTAGGTGACGGGACACCTTTAGCCTATAAAAAGTCAAGAACAAAATTATACAACTTTGCAAATATAATAGGTTTGAAGTTCAAAGATCTGATCTCTTAGGCCGTCTTAAAAATCGCTACTAACTTACGTGATAAGGTACTGCAATGGGATCGCGGGTGGGATGGAGTCCATACTGGACGTTCCATCGCTTCTTGAGCGTCGATAAGAAGATGCGGTGAACGAATAGCCCACGTAGAAGGTATAAGACCTTCAACAAATGTTGCTTCTCTTTGAACATTCCGGTGACCCTATTCAGAACCTGGGAGGAAATCACGGGGCTTGAAACGAAGAGACGAATATCCTCTTGGCCTGAGGCCGGAATTTCGGCACAAGGGAAAGTTCCGAGCTGGCCCTTGCAGATGTCTTCCACTATTTGAGCAACGAGGTGCTCTTGGACGTCTTGGCGGAGGAAATAGATTAAGGGATAGTCGCCAATGGCTCTCTCTACCACCGCTATGCTCTGCGGGAATCGGCGCTCAAGTTCTGACAAGTAGAATCTCAAAAGCTGAAGGACTGCTTGAACAGTCCGCCAACGCTGAGGGTGACCATCAACCGTCATCTGCGAGCCCGACGGATATATTAATTGGGTTCTAATGGCAAGAGACACGTCAGATTCATCTAGGACATCTCGGGCATACCTATCCAGCCACCCTTGGAACTTGATCATCGTTGTAGCTTCTTCAACGTGATCATCGCAAAGGCGTTGAATTCCGCTCAGTTTGAACGAAAGAATATGCTCAGGTAGCGCAAGCATAATGCCATTTTTCCTCTTCAGGTTAACGTGAAGCTGACCGAATGTCTGAATTAAGGAACAATTTGTTGGTGTCTTTCGAGAGAAGGGAATGTGCATGATCTCGCGGCTCAAGAGCCCACCGAGCCTGATTTGCATGATCTGGGCTGATTGCAGAAGCAAAGGCCTAGGAACAATGACTCTCACGAGGTTTCGCTTATCCGCAAGCACTGCGGCAACCATGGCTAGGTAGTGTTAGCACTCTCCTTTGAATTACAGAGGAGCTTTCCCTGTCAGACGAAATCGGGGCATGGTGTCCCTCGGAGTATTCTGGCAGAGTTATCGCAGCACTTACGTAGAATACACGACGTCTTCCCTTTTCCCATCAGGAGCTGAACTACGGAGTTTTGTCCAGACTCCGGCGATATCGTAGCATTAGCTACTTCGACTTGTTCCACGCGGAGCATGAAATCGCTATCTATTTCCAGTATAAGCCAGTCAACAAGCTCCAAAGGTGACCAATTCAGATGTCCCGGATTCACAGTCTCGTCGTACAACTGCTGTTGCTTGTTCTTCTTGGCTGCGTCTTGGATCCTGAGTAAACGTTGAAGAGCCGTTATTTTGAGGCCAAGCTCCACAAGCGCTTCCTTTGTACCGTCTCCAAAAGCAGTCTCAGATGTCGAACGGAGCTCAGAAAGCAGTGTGACTAAGGTTATTTTAGGCCAAAGACCCGCATGCCGAAGCCATCTAGCACGACGATCGCCTTCCGCTAAAGCCTGGGAAATGTCTCGAAGCATAATGGTGCACGCTTTCCAAGCATGTTGAATCTCTTGTTCAAGTAAAGTCGGATCTGCATCCGACAAAGTAACCGGAGGCTGAGATATATGTTTAACAAGTGCGTCGATGCTCTGCTCCATCTCCAGACCATATCTCCGCTGCACGGAAGAAGCAGATGCTCGAAGCTTGGAAAGAATATTTTTTAGCTCTTGAATAGCTGGCCGTGCTTCAATGACCGCAGTGAGGTGTTCAACAGCCACAGGATGTGGGCTAATAGGATGCTTGTTGGACAATGCCGAAAGCAAGTCGTGTTGTAAGTCTGTCAGCTCCTCTGTCTTTTTCTCCTCCATATCAGACTGGCACGCCCACAGAGGGGAACGTATGGATTTGCCCAAAAGACTATGGAGAGAGAGACGCTCTCCTCCGCGAGCCCTTGAAGGGTAATAGTTCGATGCTTGCGGTGGCCCATGATGGAGGCTGCCACGCCTTTTCATTTCCAGATCTGGGGCAGTGTGGGTTTCTGCAGCGCTATACTCGTTCAAAACAAGCTGCACAGCTTCCAGGTACTGTGAGAATTCGAAATTCTGCGCAATGCGACCCCATTCGCACAATACTAGCTCCAAAGCCTTTTCCGTATCGAGAAGAGTCGAATCGATGGAAGCCAATTTATCTACCTTTACTTCTACTGATGGCCATTGAGCGAGTATGGACTTGGCAAGTTCGACACAGCTACGCTGAGACTTCTCCTCATGCCCGAGTCGTGCAAGAGCGAGCTGCCCCGGCTTACCTTGTTTTCCGGATGGACCTGTAACGTGGGGCTTCTTGGCATCATTCATCAACTCGGCCAGATCTTTGACGGCTGGGACTTCTTCAGCTTGGAAGCGAAGATATGAAGGCCATATTGGTGGAGTGATATCTTTCAGGCAGTGTATCTGCGCGAAAGAAAGGATGACTCGGAGCAGGTCCATCTTAGCATTCACAGAAAATGCCATCGGCGCGAGTTGGAACATTAAGCGGTACTTGTCTTCGGGCTTAGACTGGCTTGTGAATTGAACGAGCGAGCCCCAGTTCTCGCCAAGATTCGCAGAGATTAGATCAAAGATCTGGATCCTGTCGAATGCTCCGACATGCCCGCCAATCACGGGAAATTCCTGTAGAAGAGATGCTAATGCCTTCGTATTTGAGAGCTTGGATGGCCACTCAGCTAGCAGTCTTGAAATGATGGCCACATTTGCTCGATCGAGCCCCGCCGTCTGACCATCCCTAGACTTGTAAGCATGATCACGCGCAGATATGACAGCACCAGATCGCGACATTGCACGAGCTTCCAAATGTGGGTCTCCAGGCGGACATGCGAGCGGATTACTGTTAGAGGATGTAGTGTCGAACGATAGCAGTTGAGAAGATCGGTGACAGATTTGCTCAATGATGGCTCGATACCTATCGTCTTGGATTGTGGTCGTCAAGTTGCGATCCCACTCAACAGTCTCCATGCATTTCATACTCGTAGGATAGTAAAAACGACGGGGTGACAGTTTCGCAATATCAAGAAGCCGGGTGATATGCGTTTCAGGAAGCGGCTTCCAAGGTTGGTAAAGACCCGACTGGAGAAGGTACATGGCTTCCTCGAGACCTGTCCTTCCAGTAAGGGGATCCGGGAGAAAATGTGCAGTATACGCGTGCCATAGCGCCTTTGTGTATAGTAATAGAGGTTCCGCAGGACATTCTACGCGTCCAAGCACTTCATTGATGTCGAAATTCAGGTATGTTCCATCATTCTCGACAAATATCAAGACATGATCTCCGTCTTTACGGACTTTAATAGGGCCAGCTGGGGCGAGGATGCTTCGCTGGCGCGGATTTGTGGTTGAGCGCAGCACAATCTTACTCCTTAGTCCATACCACACCCCTGGGTCTTGGAGATTTGTAGGTGCTATTTCAGCGCCTAACTGGCGGCATTGGAGGAGCCTCGAACTATTGACAAAGAAGCTCAGCTCCAATCGCTTCAACTCCACCGATAATCGGCCATTATGAGGCTCGAAGACTGTCACATGGTGGGCATACTCAAAGTAAAAGAAATTCTGAGCAATTTTTTTGGCTACTGGACTGTAGGGATCTACAAGCGTGGAATTGCGCCTCATTGCGTGACGAGTGCGCAGGTTTAGCATCCAATTGCTGTTTTTTGACTTCCAGATGTCATCTTGACGAATTTCCAAAACCCCGGAATCTAAGTCTAACCAGTGATAGCAGTTCTCTATAAGGGGTGAGGGTAAATCGTATTGGGAACCATTGCGGAAGATATCACTTCGGATCAGTTCAAGTGTGCGGTAACCTTGTGTTGCTCGGACGATCAATTGACCCCGCCGGAAGCCAAGATGTATCCGGTGCTTGTAGGGCATTGGCTGGGCAACGAATATGGACATTCCTGGCTGATACGAGGGCAGTACTCGTAGGTTTTGTGTCCCAAAAAGCACATGAATGATGGGATCCTGACGATATTCGGCTGGGAGTGTGCCGGATTGTTTGCCATTGATGAGAAGATCTCCACGAATCACGTTGTAGTGAACACAGTGCGTCAACTGTTGCTTCCCTGACTTCATGGAAACTTCTATCCACCACGTACCCGGCACAGCTTGTATTTGAGGTGGGGAATCGAGGAAGCCATCGGGAACGGGCCAAATATCGTCCAAAGCGGAGAGGAGGCCATTATGGTCGGCTATGATAGCTTTCCGGAAGGCACTACGCATCTTATACGTGTATAAGAGGTCCCGGAGTACCGCATTCCGTAAGCTAAGTGGCAAAAGTTCGAAACGTCCTACAAGGTTCTCCTGAAGGATTATTGAGGCGCCGACAAAACAGTGTAAAGCGTCCGAAGTCAGGGACAACGTCGACTGTGCAAACATCTGAAATGTCCGTTTGCACAGTACGGATGCCCAAATAGCGAAGATGGTCGCCTCTCGTGAGTCATCGTTGGCTGATGACTGCAAAGCGGCACACCAATCCCAAGTTATGGCGCGAGTCAGAGTAATAAGCCCAGAGGTCTTTGCTTGAATATCTTCGGAGGGTGAGAGAGATGCCATCTTAAGCAGGATGGTGATAAGGACGTTCATCTGTACCGGCTCGCGCCAGTTGCGCCGTATAGCTTCAATACGGTGGCCAATTTGCTCAAGGAGCTTTCTGCAGAAGCTACTATCATTAAAGATCGCGTGTACATCACGCAAAGGCTGGCCGAATGATGAAGGACCAAGTTGGAAGATAAGCTTCGAAATGATGGCCCAAGTCGATTCAGTGGAGAAATTGAGGTTTGTGGCACCGAGTTCTCGCAACAGCGACAGCCATCGGCAATGGGTCCCGCAAAGGAGGCCTTGCCACGCCATGAATTCGTGGACGTTGAGATCTGACGGACACTTTGTCTGACTGGCAAGGACATCATTTGATGAAGGCATACAATCGTGAGAGAGCCGAAGAGATTGATATGGCGAGTCATGTGGAAGAGCTAAGGGGCAATGGGCGGAAAACGAGGGCTTCCCGGTGCGGATTGTCCAGGTCTGAGTGCTCGTGTCATAGTACTTAAGTGTAAGGCCACAGGGGCGGCATATTTGGTTCAAGGCTACAGGAAATCCCGATACCGCATAATGGCAGTCAAGATGCGATTTAGTCGTGGAACCTAGGGAGACTTTCATCACTCCTCGGGTCGCATAGCGTACGAGTCCAGAATAGCTACGCAGAAGCGGGACATTGTCGACGGCTTTAGTCTTGGGGTAAGAAAAGGTAGCAAGCAGTGTCCAGGTTGCGTCGCGGTAGGCTGCGAATGCATCTGGGCAGGCCAATTCGAATATTGCTGCCTTAGCACTAGGTTCGACATTTGGTAGCGGACTCTCAAATGTAGTAATTTTGATCTGTTTTGCCTGCCACTTGTACTTATGCTTGAGGCAACCACGCGAGTGCTCTCTGACCAGAGTACCATCTGAAGCTACAATGGTGATGTATGGGCAGCTAGATTCGGCAACACGCTGCATCAATTCCTCATGCTTCTTGCTCAATTCTCGCCATTCTGACTCTTTGGCTTCACGTGCTTTCGCCGCTTTGGATTCGATCTTCTGTCGGAGTTCCTTCAAGCCATGAGTGTCGGTGTCATAATACATGACAGCGAACGAGTCTTCGGCAGGGTCATCAAAGATCGTCTTCGACCCGATGCCGTCCCAGCCCTGACATCGACGGCCGAGGTACGCTTGGACTCGCTGTACGCGCTTCATTTCATCTAGTGAGAGCAATTCCAGGGTATCCAGGACCTCAGGGTTAAATCCGGGATGATACCGTCCCAATAACGGGTAACAAGTAGAAGCATTTCGGTCCATCTCAACCCACAACTCCATCAGATCAAGGATGAATCCGCTCTTCAATTCGGCATAGCCATCAAAATCATTACCGGTCGCCGAAACATACGACTCGATCGTCTCGGCCAGCTCGCAGCAGCGAGTTCGCAAGTCCACAGCTGGAACAGGATTAGCTTTCACCGGTGCCACCTTCTGTTCCACGCGCTTAGCCAGAGTCAAATAACGATCGGCAACAACAGCGAATGGCTTAGCCTTTGCCCTAGAGTGCTCGTAGTGTTCTAAATGCTGCAAAGGGGGCAAGGTCTGAGTTTGAGAACCAAAATGCCTTCCAAAGGCGACTTCATTGAGTATATGTCGGCTGAGAAGCAACTGTAGCACTATCTCGGAAGAGTCTGCGTGCTGGGGAAGGGGCCGGATAATCCGTTGGGTGTTCATCTTGTGGAATGTCCATTGCTCTTCCAGAAATTGACTGGTCGTTGCTAATGATTTCTCCAACACAACTAGGAGGCCTGAAAACATGAACTCTTGACTTTTCTTGACCAAGTCTGGGACCATCATCCTATCTTGCTCAAGCTTAGCGAGCCGACGACCGAGCTTCTGCTTCAAGTAATGAGAAGCTTCAGGCGGGATGGTCCCGAGACAGTCATCTAACAGGCGTGACAGGAAGATGCTCATTATAGTCTTGTAGTATGTGTGACCAAGCTCAGCTCCAAGCGCCCTATACAAGTGTCGTTGAACGGCTACACGAATGACAAGGTAGAATGGGGATCTTCGCCAGGGCTTGCGCGCCTGTTTGAAAGACACGGTGTCGTGAACGCGTTTTCGCAAGATTGGGGCAAGAAAAGTCGCGCCGTTGGTGTCTAGAATCGTCATCAACAAGCCAGTGATCAGAGCTGGGTCTGTCGTATCCCGTATCTCCGGCATCGGTGCGGACGCTTTATAGGTAACAGCGGCGAATTGTTTTACAGATTCAATGCTGGCCTGTTCCAGGAACGCAGCCAGACACTCTACGAAGGAGTCATCTGAGTAAACCTCGGGAGGTACCGAAACTGCGTGACCGGGGAAATCCCATTGCAAGGCATGTTTGGTTGCTAGGACTTTTTCGCAAACTGCCGATGTCTCGCAAGCTTCGAACACAAGAAGGTCTTCGTCATAATCCCTAGGGGAATCAGCAACCGGAGAGCGCTAATAACGGGAAGTGACAATTACCCGTTGTATTTATAGACCAAAAGGGCAGCATTCTGTTCCGTCACATAGAGGATAAGCGAATGGCTTCTCTCTAGTTGTTTTAGCTCCTTCACCAAAAGGTTCCTGTCGATCTTTCCCTCAACATTCAGAGCCTTTGACGTAGTAAGTGCCAACCGAACTGAATTCACACATGATTGGTGTTCAAGAGGACAGAAAGGTGCGATAACTTTGATGGCGGCGATCATGCGGTCTAAAAGCGCGGATTCAACTCTGAAAAGGTTTCTGTCCTCTTCCCCGGGGACGTTACGGGGCAGTGCAGCGTGGAAATACTGCTGCAGTAGGAACTCCCGAGAAGCAGCCATGGCTGCACCGCTCAAGCTGCTTGACAAGAACAATTCTTGGGGGGTAGAGCGCGATGTCTCGGAGGTGTCGCATACACTGGTGCCGAAGTAGATAGAAGGGTGATGATTGAGTTGGTGTATCAAAACGCTTGCTAGCGGGGTTGCGGAGCGGGGTAGGACATCAAGAGCTACATTTTCATTCCACACCAGCGGCCGTAGCATCGACAAAGTCCTACTATACCCCTTAGTTACAGAGTAGCACCTCCGCAGAGCATATTTACCGAATCTTCGTCGGCCTCGCATCAGCTTGGACGCCTAGTCTAAGTTCAGCTTTTGAAAGTAGGGCAGCGCACCAGCACTCGCCGCCCGGAGACTCTTGGCGATCTGAGGGCGATATCTGCATAACCGTCCTGGATAATATCCGCGTGTGGGGGCAAGAGAGCAAACTCTCCACGGCGGTGAGGGAGATAGAGAACGTACTTGAGTGGACCGAGCGTTCGCCTCCCATACGTTTAGCTCATGCCCTACGAGAGCTATGTTAACCCGGCCTCACCATAGTGCTTTACGATGTTAATATCAAGATGTTCCCTCCGATCCCGAATTCCTCTTCCGGGCACACCGGCACGTGGGCACGAGCCAACCAACGTTCGAACCAGAATTAGAAGTGCCTTTCAATCTCGAATTTAAGTGCACCGTCTCCGTGGACGGATTCGCGGCACTCTTGGCTGAACATCTAGGCAAGACACAAGAGGAGAAGAGGACGAGTGATAGGGTAGAGACAGGCTTCCTATCCATGAGTCCGGTACTAGAATGGACGGTTTATGCAATAGGGCAGAAGTGGAAGGACAGGAAAGCAGATGAGACAGTCAGCCTTGCTGTCTTCAATGCTGGGAGGCTGCGGCAGACTCCAGACCTAACCGTTTTCTATGTCTCCGACATCCTCTAGTTTCTCGAAGGTCGGGGTAAAGAGGACATTGTCCCGCGGGATATCTAAGGTGGGCACGGAACTGTAACAAGTACGTGTTAATTGGCAAGGTGCACGGGGGCGGGTTACTTCGGTGGGTTCCGTGGACCGAGCTGTATGGGTTAGGATTTCTATCAAGCCGCTTCCTTAGGGCATACACCCTAGGGAGATATTGCTAGTGGAGGGACAAGGTACACGATACTGCAGGATGCATTAAAGTAGAAGATGTCTGTTAGAATATTATAGAATTCGAGAAGATGCTGGCAAGGCTATAGGTTAGCATCCTTCTACTACTTATAAAATTAATTCTTAAACCGGGTTCCTAATTAGGCGTTAGTACTTGTATACCCCCTATTCTTAGTAAATATACACCCCCTAGACTTGGCGTTTTACCGCCTTCCTATTGGCTCGGACTACGGCTCTAAATGCTCTCTGCAAATGCGGCTATGTATAATATAAGCAATTACATGGCCATATAGCCTCCAGCACAGCCTATCTGATTTGTGCAGCTGTATATATATACGGCCGTACGTGAGCTCGTACGTGAGGCTATACACATCGGCATGGCTATATAGCCGTACACGAGCTCGTACGTGAGCTCATACGTGAGGCTACACGAATTGAAAAGGATGCGCTGTAAAACGGAGAGGCTATATAGCTATGCTAGCTTGTATAGCCTTACGTACGAGCTCACGTACGCCTAAGTGAATGAGAAAGGCTCCACGTGCGGATGCACGTGAGAATAGAGCTCCGGACGAAGCTCCGAGCCTCTCCAGCCAATTAGAAGATCAGACGAGAGGGGGGGTATACGTGGAGTGATTAGGGGTGTGCGTGGAGTAATTAGGGGTGTGCGTTTATCCCTCCCCTATTTAAGATAGTATATAGACTACTAAGCCCTATAGAGTAAGCCTTTATATAACTAGTTAAAAGGTATAAAATAACGTAGGTGGCAAGCGAGTCGCGCAGGTAAGCGAGTCGCGCACCCTTTAACTTTTTGCAACGCGACCTCTGTTAACTATAATAGCTCCACCAACAACAAATCTATTGCCGTACAACGAAGGAGACCTTTTCCTTGCTATCTTATCTATCAATTCTACACAGATTCCTAGTGCACGGTATGCTGCATTACTATACAATATCCCTAAATCTACACTACGCGACCGACGCGCCGGAAAGCCTGCACGACGCGATTGCGAGCCCAACTTAAAGAAACTTACTGCAACTAAAGAGGAGGTAATTATCAGACACATACTAGACCTAGATACGCGTAGGTTTGCGCCCACTTTTAATACTGTACGCGATATAGCAAATATACTACTTGCTAAGCACGGCGCTGGCCAGGTTGGCCAGAAGTAGCTAAAAAACTTTATTAACCGGACACCTAGCCTTAAAATGCAATTTAATTAACTATATAACTAGTAAAGGGCCCTATATAAGAATTCTATAATTATTAAAGGCTAGTTTAACCTAGTAGCGCGTACTAAAGCTATATATAGCATCTGTAATAAGAACACCTATAATTTTAATAAAACTAGCTTTCTATTCGGCAGGATATTATTATAGCTTATTATTATAGGCTCTAAAAGGCGCGGCCGACTAAAAGTAATATAGCCTAGCAATTATAAGTAGGCTACAGTTATCTAGGGAATTAATACTATATAACGGGTCGTTTTTTCTATACCTTCTAAGTGTTACACACTAAGGTAGGGTATAGGTTAAGTTATTATCGGGGTATAATAGTTTTTAAAAGGTAAGGTAAGATTAATCTTAGGTATAAAACGGGGTTATTACTTCTAATAGGTAGTATTAAAGTCTTAAGTTAAATATAAGGTTTCTATCTATATAAAGGAGCGTCCTTATATATAAAGCTCCGTCCTAAGAAACCTATCTGCTCGTCGCCCTCGCAGAGCTCGCAGCCCTCGAGCGCCTCGAGCGGGTTGAGCGCTTTCTCGGCTCTATACTTACTTCTCCTATAAGCCTAACGAGCTATTATATAACCCTATTCTCCGTAATATCCTATTTTTAGATCGTTCCTATCTACTAGCAGTCCGTAGGGGAATCTAGGATCCCTATACGTCCCACACGTAACCCTCTTAGTCCTGTAACCTGGTCCTGCGTAATTAGCCTAATCTGTCTACTTATTTCCGCGAGTGCCTCTGCGCTTAGGTGGTTCGTATTACGGGTTGTAATATACTGCTAGGTAAGTAATCCCGCTATTTATTATCTTTACAGCTAAGTACTACTTTTCTACCTAGTATTAGGATAATAATATACCTAGTAATTAGGCTATTTTAGTAAGTAATAATAGCTAGATAATAAATAAGCTTAGTATTATATAGCTGCGGTACTTTAATAGGTATATAAAAGGAAAAACAGCAGGCGCACACCGGCTATTAATTCTAGATAGCTATAAAAGCTATAAATTACTCAAGTTCCAGGCTATCTATAGAAAGAACAATATCTATACTTTCTATATACCAGCGTATTTATTACACCTTCTATAGCTACTTAATATAGGTTACTTTTTACTATTAAAGCGCGTATATAGGTATTAGGTTAATAGCCTAGTATATAACTATATTAACTATATTACTAAGCTTAAGTTTTTACTAGCCTTTAAAGCCGCCTTTAATATATTATTTATAAAAAATAACATCTATATAAGCTTTTAAGGCGCTGGCCTAATCCTATATAATCTAAATAAGGTACTATTATAGCTTAATATTAGGCTTTAGACGCCTACCCCTATTGCTATAGATATTACCCTATAGGAATTAAAAATACTAAGTAACACGCGTAAGCTAGGGTTTTAATTAATCCTAATTTATAATTAGATATTATTATTATTATTATTATTAGGTTCTATTAGGCCGATTTAGCTCCCGTTAGGGTCTATATAGTAGTGCTATCTAGGTTTTATTTATAAGGGGAAACCGTTCGCTCTATAGCAGTCGGGTGAAAACCTTATTTTCTATAGTATATAACGCCTTACGTTCCTTTTATTTCTGCGCAGCTGTAGGGGACGCGTAGCAGCTCTATAAGTATTGCCACGGAGTAAGCTATTTTAATATATTCTCTAGAATCGATCCGGTGTCTATAGGCCCTAGGTTCTAAGGTTATATAGTATTTAGAAGGTTAGTAAGATCCGGGGTCCGCGTTAGGGCGCGCGTGCCCTTACTATACGCGCGTGCCCTTTTTCTTAAAAGCTAAGGTATTAAATTAAAGAATAATAGGAAATTAGGGGGGTTGCCCTATTGCGGGCGTACCTATAGTTATATAATATGCGTACGTGTATATAGTTCTATTCTTAGAGCGTGGCTATATAAGTTAGCTAGCTGTATAGCTAGCTTTTCCGTTGCTATTTTTCTAGCTATAGAGAGGTAGAGTAGAAGGTCTATTTAGTGCAGGAACTATTATAAAACGGCCTTATTTCCCTTATAGTCTTTATATAGCTGTATATATATTCTTATTTTAGCCTTAAAAAATATATTGCCTCTACTATTATAGTATTATTTATAGTGTATTACTATATACTTTAAAAACTGTAGTATATACCCGCAGGGGCACGTAGGTAAAAGGTAATTAGGCACTCTTATACAGTGCAGGTATATATTAAGCCCTATATATTCCGTTTATAAAAGCGTAATAATTAAGCTTTCTGCTTTTATAAGCTTATAGTATTTAGTTGCCTAATTTTTATTCTATTTTATATTAAGGGCCGGCGTAGGAAAGCCCCTTTATTTCTTTCTATAGGCCTTCTATTTATTCCTCTACTTTTCCTTATATACTTCCTATATTATTCCTTATTTTAAAAGCTTATATAAGTTATCTAACTGCCTTTTATACCTTAGGGCTAGTACTATAGCCTTAACCGCGAGCCTTTTTAGTATATTACGCCGGCTTAGCTTATATTTAGGCGTTTTCCTAGGCTTATAATATCTCCTAATAGTGTTTTTAATAGTGCAGCACGTAGTTTTAATATACTTTCTAGCCTAGCCTGCGCGCGTGCAGTCCGCGTATACTACTGCAAGTTCCTTTAGCTTAAGCCTTAAAAAGGGGTAAAAGGTTTTATATTTAAGCGTTTTAATATCTATTATTTTATACGCCCCTGTAATAGTATAAAGGAAGTAGTTCTAGGCTATTTTAAGTTATTTAATTTTCGCTTTACTAATTTATTCCTTTATACCTGGCGTTGGAAACTAGGTAGTGCACCTATATATAAGAACCGGCCTAATAACTGCTAAGTATATATACTATGCTTTTTAGAAGCTTGCGCCCTATATTAATACTATTAGCCGTGTAAGAGCTCCTATCTATACTATAGCCTTTTCCTTTATAATATATATATGCGGGCCCTATTTAAGTTTAGAGTCTACCTAGACTTTAAGCACGCGGAGCTCTATAATTAGGCCTTTTATAAAGCCTTAGATGTTTACTATAGCCTTTATATTTACCGTATTTAAACGGCGCCTTATAAAGTATATAAGGTAATACTTATCTAGGGCAAATACTATACTATACTTCTTCGCCTACTCTATACACTATACGTGCGTACTTTTAATTACCCTGCAGTTTTCTTTCGTACTTCTGCTAAATATAAGGATATTAGTGTTATCTATAAACCTGTAGGCTATTATATTACCTTTTTATAGTACCGGTAAGAGCGTGCTTATAAAAAATAAGAAAAGGATTAGTAAAAGTAAGGATTTTTATAGTATACCTGTGTTAACCGGGATAGTTTTAGTAATATATCTTCTAATAGAAAGTTTTATAGTTCGGTCCTATAGGAATAATTCTATAAATTAGACTATCTATTCCGGTATATATTAGACCTGTAGGTTATATATTATTCTTTTATAAAATACTCTATTAAAGGCCCCTAAAATATCTAGGCTAAGAAAAAAGGTAATAAGGTAAAAGTTGCCCTTCTATATAGTTTATATTTGTTCCGTAAAAAGTTCTAGTACTGTCTGCGTAGATTATTCGGGCCTTGCGCCTATTTAGCTCGGTAGGAGCATGCCTTTCTCTTCTGCTATTTTAGATAGTTTTCGTGCTATAATATATTTAAGCAGCTTACCTACTATTTCTAGCAGCGTAATTAGCCTATATAACTTTACTATATTATAGAACGCTTTCTAAGGCTTATATAGTACTATAGTAATTAATTTTTTATACGGCTATAGGTAGTGCCCTATATATATACACCTAGTAAAGAACCTAGCTAGTATTAGTACTAGCTATATTTCGCATTTTTTAAAAATCCTGTTAGTTATCTTTATAATACCCGGGGCCTTATCCGGGGCTATTTCTATTAGCGC